CCTTTATTTTTATTTGAATGAAGGATTTTGGGATGGTGAAGGAGAATAACAGAAGTGGCTGATGTGATTGGACCTGGGATCCCTAAGAGGGAGAAAGAAACAAACGGGTAAAAAACACACCACATTCAGACCACATGTCTGCTATTCACAACGGTGAAGAGGGGACTAAATTGTTCTCCAACCCCGTATAACAGTGCCTTTAGTTTATTTAGATAAATATCTGGATTACTTCAACTTCATAGATTACATATATAATTTATCTTGACTAAAATTCAGGGGGGTTGTGATGGAAAGAGAAGGGGTTTAGTCCAATAGACTCCAAAAGACTAAGTTTGGCTCAGTCTAGCTCATTTTCATTTCTTTGTTTTTCTAGTTCAAAGTAATTAAAATTGATACATTACAGTTTTTAAAAGAGGTATGAACGTTATTTTGGATGTGGCAAGTAAGGTATATGTACAACGAATAACTTCAACGTGATCCCACGTTCTACCTATTACAGTTTTACGTGGGAATCACATTCAAAATAACGTTCTATCCATTCTCACTTTTTTAACACTGTCCCTGTGTGATATTGTCAGCTGGGATGTTAATTGAAATCTTGAGGGACTCTGGTCTACCCATGAGTTATCATACATGTACTAAGTATTTCGTCCAATGGCATCAGTATAACATTTAAATATTCTTGAGATAATAAAGGAAAACAAGTTTCGGAGTCTTTTACGTCTCGGTTTAATATAATTTTATAGGGGAGAAGACGTCGAGGCAAGAGTCTGTATGTATATAAATGTGCATGTGCGTGCGCATGTGTGTCAAAACCCATTGCTGTAAGTTGGGAACCCTTGTAGCACTTTTAAAACCTTTCTCTGATGAGCCTTCACCTTTACTAGGTAACTATTACCTTATATTGGCAATTTTTTCGAGCAGGAAATAAGCGCTCTTTATTGTTTCCCGCCTTCCTTTAGCGTGACTTTCCGCTTTTTAAGTTGGTAAGTAGCAAGTTGATTAGATATAAAGTTTCTTAACATCTGTGACTCTTAAAGATGCCCAACACGGTCTTGACAATAGACGAACCAAACTTGATGTAAATTGAGAATGAACTTAGACGCACGTGTGCCGGAATGTTCTATTTCCTCCTCAAGACTGAGAAATCATTGACTTAAATTTAATTCCTAGAGAATTGCACATTATTCTCACTGATGCTTAGTTTTTAATCGGATTTTTTCGATGTGTGAAAGAAAACTTCCAGTAGTTATTTGTAGGTATGTACCGGTATCAGACGCAAGAAGTATAGTTTTGAAAAACATTTGTAGAGCATGTATGTCAATCCAAATGGTTTTAGTAAACATTTTTCAAAAAGTGAAATTACTTTAAAATCCACATACAAACTTTGCATTTTACGCATCTGATACAGACATAAAAAAGATACCCATTGACATAAATATCAGGCATTTTCTTTTGTCAGAGAATGTGTTAAATGATGTTTTCAATACAACTTCGCTTATAGTCCATCGTGCGTAGGCACCCTATTGACTGTAAAATTATCGGTTTCGTTTTATCCAAGTTATCTCGATAGTACTGTAAAGTATTGTGTACAATATCTATGCATGTTTTTATATCTGGGTCGCTCAAAATGTGGATTTGGAGCAATTCCTCTTTATGGACATGCTTATTCCACAAATCAGCATAATGTATGTTGAATGCTAGGTTTGCTGAATTAAAAATAATAGCTGAGATTATCGTTGCTATTTCCCTTCTTGAAACCCTCGAAGGAATAGAGAAACCACAGAATATTTAAATGTGATATCTTTATACTAAAATTATTGATAAACATTTCCCAATAACTAAGTCGCACATGTATCTAACAGTGGCTTTAACACTTTTATTCATGAAAAATATAACGATACATTACGCAATGTACAGTGAGTGCCGTTATGTAAGTGTTATTTTATAAGAGGCGTTAGCAAAAACGAGGTTATCGTCTACAATATGATACCATTACACAACCTATTGTCTATTCTGGCATGCACTGTTTGTCGTGTGACTATCTCTGCTATTGTGACCTGCACCTCAGAGATGCTGGTTTGACTCCTAATTAAGTACCACCAGCTGGGTTTGTTGACTAGGACAGTTTTTCACCAGAATCCTTTTCAACTATGGACCGCTTTGTTGTTAGAGAGAAAAGTTATCTCATTCGGTAGATACAACATAAAGAACGAGACAATATACTGTTACCGACTCATCAAACGACACTTCCTAAGACATAATTTAGGGGATACGGATGCGTCGACAAACCTGTAGGTAAGTTCGGGAAGACCAAACCAAATGAGAATAGATCGATTAAAACCGCCATGGTTATCTTTTTAGTACAAATTGATCTTTTTCTACCTAGATAATATGACCCTTTAAATAGGCTATTACGGGTAGGATCAGATTCGACACCTTTTGATAAAACTTTTTGCTCAAATTACATAATAACTATGTTCCTCGTAATTACCATTATACAAAATTATTAAACAATTTGCTGATTTTCCCTTGGGGTGCTCCACAGTGTGTGGTCTACAGAAATTTTAGTTAACAGACATACATGTACAGGTACCACCAACTTACTCTCGGTGCACCGGTTTTTAAAAGGACTAAGGATAAAATATTCAGAGGAGTCTGAAAATGATTTGAATACAGATATAGCTTTTTAATAATTTTTTGACATTGCAAATAAAAAGTACTGGGGTATGCCTATCCTTAGCCATTAAAGCTGGTAGTACCCGGTACATGTAATTGATCTAATAGCTTTTTACGGACGCTTTGCCCACAACAAATGTGGTTGTAATTAGGCTACTGTCACAATTTTGAGCAAATAATAAAAAATTAATTAATTAGGATAAGTGTAAGGTCAAGCCTTAGACTGAAAAATGAGTAAGCGGCCGAATGAAACGCAACTGCCTCAGCTTAAAGCGATTTTCGTTTCAAGTTCTTTTGTCAAACGGACCTCAGGTTCGTAGGTTCAGTGGATTTTTATATGACAAGATTTAAGCGCGACGTAAAACGATGCTGCAATGTTAGAGAAAATTGTGGAATGTTTATGTGTACACCATCGCATCTTTAATATGGTGCAATACAATATGCGTCTGCATTTCCTGAAACATTGAAAAATATCATGTCTGCAGTCAGCATAAAAAGCGTTGACTGAAGACATGAGTAAAAAAAGAAACCACATCAAAGCTCTTGATATAACATAAATGAAAATCGTGACAAAGGCACAAGAATGAAGAAAAACAGTAAGTACTGGCATAGCAAAAATAACCCACGTTTTGTCTTGTATTTTCCTCAAAATCCAAGCAAATATAATACATGTACCTGATCCTTTATTTGTTTTCCTTTTTTTCGAGACATCAATTTCAATTAAATACATGTATTTTATTCTGATTTGTTTTTCTCTCTTTTTTTTCCGAGATATCAATTTCAATCATTTCTTTTTATCTGTTATAAATTATGGCTTGCACATAGGGGTTTGGAGTAGCACGGTACTTTATGAAGTGTAAGCAGTAAATAGCGTTTTGGCACCACTCACTTCGGGACACACAAGTACATACACTGTAGATCTCCATGTTAAGTTAATATTTTCATTTTTACCCAAGGTAGACTTGACCGCTTCTATCCTCGTTTAACTCAAATTGCGTAAGACTGACTTCTTGGAGATGGTTTGTTTGGACAGCAGAATACACTGCCAACACAATGAGTGACAATATAAAGGTTTCTCAGCCCTTTACTCTCTGTAAAACTGGATTTGGTTGGGCAATGCGAATATGGTAGTGCTCTGTCAGTTAGCCCTTAATCTTTATTGGACTGATATTGACTAAATTGATAGGAGGGGAAGAAATATAGTTTTTATAAGAAAACCATTAGATATATATACACATAATCCCATATGAAACCCTTGTTGATTTCCCTCATGGATGTCATTCATTGGGTGGTAATTGATTTAAATCCCCACCAAAAGTGAAACATAATAAGTATATTTACAGCCGCATATTTGCAGGATATTCTACGGGTCTCTTCATACTTGGTTGTCAACCAATGATTGCAACGTGTCGTTCTATTTTTACTAAATACGCTACTCGTCGCGTGTTAAGCATAAGATGAATATGTGTGGAAAGGTCAGCACAATCCTACATGCAGAACAAACCACCGACCCGACAAACTCCCCCGGCCAATCTGCCACGGACAATTCTGCCCTGGACATCCCCTGAGGAATTCCCCCAAGATAATTTCCCCAATATACCACCGCACAAGAAATTGCGCTGTTTGTAAATTATCTTCTTTAAGAGAACCACATCCAGACTGTAAAAATCATTTCGTAATTCTGAGCATCCCCAAGACTGCGGTGATTTCTATATCCCAGCCTTAATCATTTTATAAGATAATCTGTCTGCAATTGAGCACTTAACTTGGTTATTTAAATGGAACCGGAGATTACTGCCTAAAATTTAAGGACTGATCATCAAAGTTATTAGGCAATTGTCCATATGATTACAATGCGTGCTCCACTAGTGTATGATTTGATACATGTAGATTCTATTTCTTGTTCTTCACAATCACGCGACACATTTCCAAAACTGACAACAGATGGTCATACGAAAAGGAAATTTTGAATTTCGCGTGAAGATGGCCCCAAAGTAGGTCAACAGTCAATCACGATGCCTTCAAACTAGATCACAAAGTCGCCACCTGACCTTCTGATGGTATAATACCTCCTTCAGCCCATCGTGTAAAAGGGCGGAAAACAGTAGGCCTACACACACTGGACAATAGAAATGTCACCCCCACTGAACCAATACTTTGGGGAAGATAAATGACGTGGAATGATATGCTCCTGGTATCATTTTATTAACATTAAATTTCACAAAAAGACCAACAATACAATTCCATGGTACAGCGGTTTTATACTCATTAGTTACATTATAAGTAGACCAGGCATTATAACTACTCAAGATCTACCTACTTTGATAACTCTGATTCAGGGGGTGACACTTCTAATGTCCATTGTGTGCCTTCTCTTTATAACTTCTTGATGTACATTTCTGCCTTCTTTCAAATTTAAGTCATTTTTATATTTGAACGTAACCATGACACATGGGAACTGCTTGAACTATTCAAATTCCGTTGTTTTCGCCGACACAGTGGTCTAATCTGGCATTGCTAGGGCTTCATATAATAACATTCCCTTCCTCAGACAATCTGGCAGCTTTTTTTTCGATGGGCGAAAAATGTCCAGTGGCACAGCTGATCACGAAGAAAAAGCAAAAATGACACACTTGACAAGACATCTTCACGAATTCATCACGAAAATGAACCTTACAGGGTTTTTCTGCATTTTTGACATGTCAAATTTTTATCAGCCCTCAAGAAGTTGTCGGAGAATAAGAATCTGCACCGGCTGTCATACGATGACTTAGGATGCCCTAATTAATGGCCTGGTATTTTTTTACAATCAGAGCCAAATTTAAACATTCCCTTTATCGTGTTTCCATCTCGTGTCTATTTCGGCACAGTGTGAAACCAGTGGTAAGGTATATCACGTATAAAAACTTATCAGCACACTTTTTTGGTTCCTGGTCTACATGTAAAGGCAGTGGTATCGGCTATCATAGGTATGTTAGTACCATAGTTTGATATGTATACTGTGGCGCACAGTCCTTTGGCTCCTAGTTCAGTGATCTGGAAACGTGTAAAACTGTCCATTGGGCCGTTTTTCTCCAATATTGTCCTGAGAATAATGAAGAATTCAAGTTGAAAAATATAAGAAAATGTCTCGTAACTGTCTCCCCCTCTGTCTTATCTTCCACATTGCTAAGTTTCCAGCAAAGCTGACTATGATGGACCTTTCAGGATGGCATCGTCGTGTGTACTTGAATATGTTGAAAATTGTCTGCAGCGTACGTAGTCTAGCAAGGCGTGCACTATCGGCCTTAAATGTAAAGAATATTTACTAGCATTACGTATGATATACGATAGGCAGATAAAGGGGTAAAAAGTGTCGCAAAATGTTTCAATTGGGCCATTTCCCAAAAAATTCTTTGCTCAAAAGGAAAAAAATTCAACTGTCCCCCTTTCTTTTAATTTTCTGGATACACTATAGTGTTCGTACGTACGTAGACCTACATGTACGTTTGTCACATCAATCGTTATTATTACATTTGAATTTTGAATTCACAACATTTAAAAGATTCCTCAAAGAGAAAACAAGGTTAATACAGGCATTTATATTCTTATGACGGGCATATATTCTTATGCCTCTTTGTTAATACCATTACTTGACGCATGGCTATCAGACTAAAAATGCAGAACATACGAAAACTGCCTCTGGGTATTAGTAAATTAGATATTAGTAACTACCACTTACATCGATCAAAGCCGGTGTGACAGGGATGGTAGTCCTAGGAATGGAAACCTGGGTTGCCATATGATAAGTACAGTTTGGGGTTAGCCCGAAATATCAAGGATAGTATATGGGACGAATTTCACCTGGTTCTAAACAGACTAATATTCCAATCACACCGGCATAAAAATTAAAGGGTGAAAAATAAAAGAAGAAAAAGCAGCAAGTTGGCGCAACATATAACAGCATAACTGCATTTTACGTAATCGTCACCCACATTAAACCTGTCTCTTCCTTGTATAGCAAGCTGACGCCTGCGCATTGTTGTAGTTCTCATCGCACTTTTTCAGGTAATGAGTTTCATACGTCACTTTTTCCCGTAATGAGTTTCATAAGTGCCTGTTTAAGAGATAGGTCCTATCTTACTCTATAATTAATAGCATTCATTGAGGTTTCAAGAGACAGGCCCACTCTTGTGCGTGCCAATATGTGACAGGTTATTTGTTGCAATTGTCCGATGCCATTAAGTACCTGACGCAGGACGCTTTGCGCAATAGTTATCAGCGACGATAAAGTGGGTGGACAAAACAAATCGTTCTGATACCATTTACACATGTCAAGAAAAGTATTTCAGAAAACCATCACATGTGCTTTAGGTCCTATTTACCCTTTTTCAGTAATCAAAGGCCAAGTCATCAACGGATCAAATGCATGTATACAGGTACTTCCAGGCATAAGAACGGGTTATTGTATGAGCTTCCTCTCCTACCATTGAGCCTTGTGCCTTTATATATGTATATATGTAATTGCTTTCATTGCAAGTAGTACCACTCGTTACATTTCTGTCTTGGTACCCAAGTGGTGTCTATTCGAGCCTTTTTTTCTTTTTTGGCTTGCTAATCAACGGGAAAAGAAAAGAGAGCAACACTTGCTATTCTTGCTGTGAAGCAATGTGTCCTAAAAGTCATTCACTGACCTGTCCATTTATTACACTTAAAACAATGGCCTTCGAGAAAAATGTTTATATTGACTTCCTCCTTTTAAGGGTTTCATTTATTCATAGTTTACCTGCTTAGACGCTAGAGCATTCATGTGGCGAAGCCCATGACAACTCGCTGCCGTTACAGTAATATCTGACATAAACATCACACAGGCATCTTTGTTTTTCTTCGATGGTTTCGTTATATTCATTGTTACGAGCTGATAACGCAGTGTTTGCAGTGCTACTGCTGCAACTTCGATTTCTGGAGCAAGTTTTATCGCTGCTTGATTTAGAACGAGAACTGGTCGCGGAGCTGGAGTGGGAGTGCGACCGTGGCAGCATGCTGGCGTTTGATGTCGCCCGTCTCGATTGGGTAGGGAAGGGCTTCTGCACCGTGCGTGGGCGTCTAGATAAATAAAATGGAGTGACCTATGAGAATGCAAAATAGGCCCAATGTTCGTTGAGCAGCAGCGAAAAACAATGCTTCTTGTGCCTGACGCATACAGACGCTCTTTATAATTATGGATGGTTACTAGGTATATGAATTCCAGGAAAAAAACTTCAATAGGGATTTTAAACATGCGGGGACCATCAACATGCGTCACGTTAATAGAACAAACATCAGGTCCAGATAACGATATAGATTTGACAACAAGGAAAAAAGAAAAATAATAAACAACGAAAGTAGTAATTACAAATAGTTAAAGCAGGGCACTTTTCTGCCAGTGAACCTATTTGTCACTGTTTTTTTATGAACGAGTGCTTTTTATAATATCAGCCTTCTTAATCGCTAGGTCTCAGCATTGTGGTTATGAAGTTGTTGGGCCAAGGACCGACATGTATCATCCATTTAAGTTACATATGAAGCAAGTATAGATTCCCTCTACAGTAAATCACTACCATTAGTTTATTATTCGACTCAAACAAAGTAGGCCTACACAAGCCCAAGGATAAACCAAATTAATCACCTACACAGCAGAAAAAAAAAAAAAAAAAACTTAAAAGAGCACTTTTTCAAAGTTCTGGTTGTTAACATGACCTGTTTATCTGTTTATCCGCCAATCCAGTTCGTAAATGTCTGCCAAATAACCTAGTAATGTGTGACCTATTACTCCTGCGCAAGCAATTGCATAATTATTCAAATTACAGTTGACGGAAACGACCGATATATAGTAGGCCTACAGAAATAAAGTAGAAAAATAATTTTCAAATATAATTTTTTCGGAAAATGTGAAACGATAAACTTTGGTATTTTTAAGTTATACTATTTGAAAGTATATGGCGGGGATTTGGTCGGGTTTAGTGGCAATTCGAGAATGTCAATTCGCTTCAAATGCATCTTTATAGCATGGGGTGGCTCATGTTCCTGCAAATTTTATTAATTTTCTGTACAGTATTTCAATAAGCATAACGTAATGTTGTTTGTTCTGGCTTATTAGAACAGAAAACTGCGACATATATTCTAATCATCTCTTTTTAGTATTGTGATATATTTCTTGGAATGGACGATTTTGGGTAATGGTCTCCTTAACCATCTCTTTAGACAATCAATCACATTCATATCAAGCTTTCATTGTTGCGTATTACTTTTCCAAGAAAACATTCTGGGGCTTATCTACAGAGAGCGATAAAATGGAAACAAGCACGCAGGCGTGAACACGTCATTTCCATAAAAAGACGATCAATAAGCCCGAAGAGACTAAACTTATGTAGCGGAAGTATATCGAAACAAATTTTCGGCCCCTGTTTGACTCAAAACTATTCTCTATCCTGGAACATATTCGACTTCTTTCCACCCTAGGAAAGCCTTATCAATTTCGTTTACATATTTTTTTTTCTGAAACATTCGTCAGGAATAATGGATTGCCCTCTCAACCTTTCGAAAGCCTTAATCCTTGACATGCATAGTTTTTGTTAAATTGTTTTATTTCTTTATTTATGCAAACAGCACTGCTTCCAAAGATATCCCCTGTGCTCAGATATTAAGTAGGTTACATTTATGACGTATAGAGTTAGCTTACGTACCGTATTTTTACGTGTACATGCACAAGACCTACTTACTAACTCTACTGAGATATAGAAATATATTCAGTGAAGCGGTAATTTTAAAGACTGATGCAATTCCGTTTCAACCACCAATACATTTGTCTAACAATAGTTTCATTTTGAAAAATCTTAACAACCATTTGAGCAAGAATCCTTTTGTCAGTAAAAAATAAGCATGGAAATCGCTATGATGATACAAGTAGTATGAATCACCAGGGAACTCGCGCTATCGCTTCTTCTGGGATTTTTCCGTATCATATTCAAAAGCAACCACCCAGTTGATTATTCGGTAACACACCTTCTCACTGTGTGGCCAGAAAGGCGAATCTAAATTTTCATATGTTTCAGATTGTAGTCTGAACGGGGTATTAAATATCTGTTATGAAAATCAGATAAAACATACTCTAACAGCTAACTGTTTGCTTTTATTAAAAGTGGGTTCGCAATCTGGTTCATGCTGACTCAAGAGGAAATACATGTAGGCCTAATCAGATTTAAGGAAGCACTTAGATCGATCAAGTAAAATTTCCCGCTAGACATTTCACACTGCAACCCCCAATCTCACCGCGGGATCGGACTAGATTCTGTTTAATAACGTTAAGTCCATATCTGCTATAATCAGCCCTGGAGCCATTGAACGTACGTCCTTGGTATAAAATCTCCCGTAGATTCATGCTAATACTGGTCCACCTGCTCCGAAAAACTAGGAGAAGAACAGCTAAGCCAATAGTCAAACTGAGTCAAACGTTGCGGGGAATCAAAAGCTAGGAATAAAATGATAATTAGTGCTTTGTATTTCTTTACTGTTAAGACACAATGTCAAACATATATTGGCAAATCACCTAGAACCGTACCGTGTGTGATACGCAACTATTATATAATTATATCCTTGTTCCAAGAAACTGTTTCATATATATGTGTGTGTGTGTGTGTGTGTGGCAAGTTAAGCAGATATTGGTAGGCAGGAAAATGTGCCTTATGTATAACAACGCAGTCGGTTTCTGGATATTGAGTTCTAAAGTCGGTATTCAGAGCAGACTGGGTTGAGTAAAATTTCCGTTTTGCCAATGCCAAGTTGTTCCGCTGTAGTTGCCAAGCAAAATATTGCATAATAACAATACAAGCTGTATCAGTACTCCCAAACAGCGTATCAAGCTTCGTTCTTAGTAGGAAATGACATACCCACGATCTTTCAGCGCACTTAGAACGACTGCAGGGTGCTTTAAACAGAATTGTATTAACAACTAGATTTTGAATAGGGTCTCGTTAATATCGTCTGCCATTTCTCAGCAAGTGTTCCACGTTATTTGTGATAAGACAAAGAGTGACTATGACCCGAACCGTAAAGGGGATCCCAACGCGTTTGAACCCCCCCTCCCCCACAGTCACAAAGTCTATATTCGGCTACACAGCCAAGTGGTTGTACAGCTTCTTGACAAGGCATAGGACAGCGATAACAAACAACCCGCAAAAAGTTGCAAAAAGGATGCAATGCACGTAAAGGCACACGTCATTCTGGCCAGTCATTTAGAACTGAACTTTTAAGTTAAAAAGGAAAAAGACGTCGAATCCAAGGGCAGGGACGGGCCGAGCAATAGTTCGCGAGAAGGGAAAATTGCCCTTCACCCCAGGAAAATTCATTTTGGCGGCTAAATCCCGTGGAGAGATCTTTAAAGGCAGTCGTAAAATGTGATATTCTACAGTTTATCTACTGCCTGTCTGTTAACGGGCTGTCTCGAATCATTAATGAATAAATTCATGGTTTTGTTTACCTTCGGGTGTCGCATGGCGAAGCATTGCAAGATGAAAAGTTAAAGTTACTAAGGACCATAAAGGATAACTTTGCAGAAAACTTAGCCAAATTGAGGTTCGTTTAAGATGAAATAATGCATATAAATGTCGTAACGGATTTTAAAGAACCATCCCATCGGTCAGTGCCTTTTAAAATTTCGGTGTCTTTAAACAAATGCTCTAACAGTCGTTTTAATTTTTTTCTATTCAAAGCCATATTATATTTGGCTTAAACTTAACGACTGCAATTTATGAAATGCACAGTCAGGACCCTTATATTCATTATCTCAGTAATTGTCATTGTTTAGTTAAGTACTAGTAAAGATTCACTTAAGTATTTTCTTCAGTAGTGAACGTTAGCACTTGGTCTAATAACACAAGCAGGCCATATTTTATTCTAACATAGTGGATAGTCTTTGAAAGCAGTTGCTGATTTTCGTTTCTGCCATTGAGTACTGTGGTAACTAACCCACGGATTTCCTGAGGTTTGACATATGCACAGACCCTTTACTATAGAATTAAAGGGTCCAAAAAATTAACATCAAGAAGTAAAATATTTGCTTTGATAAAACATGCGAATGGTTATCATCCGAATAAAATGCATATCCATTTTGGGAAACAACCATAAACACTGAAACACGATATATCTAGGACCTACGGCACATGCAGGAGTTGTTTGCATAGCATATATGCAGATGTGAAAGCGGAAAGGAAGAGTTTCTGCGAGAAGTAATAAGTCAAAACGCGCTGCACTTTCTTAGATGTCCAAGAATATGGAATATCAATGCAGTTACCGCTAGATGTCTTTACCTAAAACATTTCTTGATTACTAAATACCTCTGGTATTTTAAGGCCGTTCATTTTAAACTACATGTTGCATTTTCCAAATAAATACATTTTTCACTTTGAAGCAAGTAAAAAAGATACGTTACGTGCTGGTATGAATATAGCCTACCAAAGTGAGCGAGAATTCGAAATCATTTTCATTTTCACCGAAGAAAGAAAGTAGATTTCTGCTATTATCTAACTGATGATTTCTAATGAATTTTTGATTACTGTCTGTTAAACTGGGGTTTATATTTTCCAGAGCATTTCTAGTCTAAAGCAAATCTTTTAAACGTATTTACTCACTGATTTAATTCGCCGTGACTAGCAGAACAAACACGGATGGTTAATGTATGGGTGTTTCACGTACTTGCAGATGCCATGCACAGGGACGAGACTAAAGTGTCACACAGTCAGATTAAAACGGACCTTTGGGAAGGTAGGTGCCAGTAACAAATTTGACATGTCTCTGTGGGAGAAGACTGTATTCAGAAATACGGGGCATTCAGAATGAGAAGAGCCGAGTGCTAGCTGGTCCACGGCCTAAATATGGTGGACCTACATGAACGGAAGACCGCGTAATGGTCTCTCCGCCTCTCACACGCCTCGTCAATCGACCGGTCGAATTGAGCCGAGATTTAATTACTGTGCCCCTGCAGGGACGATACGTGGGGAGGCGTGAAAGAGGCGGAGAGACCATTACAGGATTAAGCGGTCTTCCTTTCATGTAGGTCCGCCATATGTCGGCCGTGGACCAGCTAGCACTCGGCTCTTCTCTTTCTGAATGGCCCCATAGTGTACCTTTGACTGCGACATATGTGGAAGGCTCCGTATATCATCGGGTTCACCATGGAGTTCGCCATACCGAAGAAGAAGACCCAGGTTCCGACGGTATTACTGTCGTTATCCTGTGAACTTTGTGTATTGAAGGTATGCCATAGCCAAAATATGTAATATGGACTCCAGCAGACTATGAAGGCTACCACAATTATGGTGGTCATGATAAGTGACTTTGTCTTGGCTTTTCGAAGCAACTGACTCCTTACGTGTCCACGTGATACATCAGACGATTCTTCTGAAAAGGGGTGCATAATTCCTAAGCACAATAGAAATTTAAATTCTACGGGACCGTTCAGAAAGAGATACATGTATGCAATGCGCACTAATTTCCACGGGGAGTCTTGCTGAATGCTATCAGATTAACTTATTAACATGCCTTTTCTTGTTTCTAACGTAATCGTATAATCAGCTTCTCTGCATTCTACTCAACGTCAGGAGGAGGTGTGTTAGTCTGTTAAACATGTTGGATTCAGCGAGAGTACCCGTGGAGTTAGGGCGTATTAGCTAGATCGATATAACTCATTATTAGAGAGCTTTCGCAACTGCACGTTTAGGCGACCGACTACATTTAGCTATCCGTAACCGTAAAGTGACCAACGTTTATTTTTTCGTGATTTCGCAGAAAGACCCGGTTAGCCTTTACGGATAGTCGAATTGTATAGTAGGCTGATACATGTTTCCCGTGCTGTAAGCAGAGACGTTAAATGAGGTCATACGACATTGGACAGGTTAGGTAATTTTTGCTGCACGCGGGTGATGAACGAATAGGCATGATAAACATCACAGGGGTAAACACACTTTAGACCACGGTGCAAGTGAAGAACAAAAGACTCGGACGTGGTGTAACTCGCATAACCGCACGTCTCGCATGAATGCGTTATAACCTGTTTATGGACCGTGGTCAAAATAAGATAGACCCCTCGTCAGCGGGGGTTATGTGACATCCACTCGTGCTACGCACTCGTGTATGCCACATAACCCTCGCTGACTCGGGGTCTATCTATTACTAAAACTACACACGCTTCAGCATGGACCTCCTGCAAATGGCAGTTCAAGGCGATGATGAGGAGTTGATATACGCTCTCCTTCGCGATAGACCTCAGAAAAGGCTGATAACCTATGACCCTGAATGGCCAAGTTTTAATTTGGGTACCCTTACTAACGATCAGTGTTTGAACGACTTTCGCTTTGAAAAGGAAGATGTATATCGCTTGGTAAGGTTATTAGGACTTCCTGATATGATAACTGTAAGTAACAGATGCAGGTGCAGCGGACTTGATGCCTAATGTATGGTTTTAAAGAGATTTTCGCACCCAAATCGACTGAGTGATTTGGAAAGATTTTTTGGTCGACCTGCATCGACCTTATCCGTGATCATCAATCACACTGTTGGTCTACTCTATGACAGTCATCATCATCGTTTGGATACACTGGATAATCCGTGGTTGGGTCCTGCACAACTTCAAATTTATGCTGATAAAATACATGAGAAGGGTGCGCCGCTGCAGAACTGCATAGGTTTTGTGGATGGCACGGTTCGTCCTATAAGCAGGCCAACACGCCATCAACGTGTATGTTACAATGGACACAAGCGCATTCACGCATTGAAATTTCAATCAGTGGTGATACCTAGCGGGTTGATTGCGCATATTTATGGTCCTCTAGAAGGGCGAAGGCATGATTGTGCACTGCTTCGTTTGAGTGGACTGATGGAACAAATGGAAGCTAGAGAGCTTACTGATAGGAATGGTCTACCATACGCAATTTGTGGAGATCCGGCTTAACCCATTAGAAGGTATCTGTTGAGTCCCTTCAGAGGAGCAAATTTGAGTGCCGAAGAAGAAGAATTCAATAGGAGAATGTCATCTGTCCGGGAATGCGTCGAGTGGGAGTTCGGAAACTTATTGCGAAACTTTGCCTTCCTGGGCTTTCGAAAGAATTTAAAAGTTCTGTTGTCTCCTGTAGCTAAGTACTACTTGGTAGGTGGTCTTCTGGTTAACTGCCATACCTGTGTGTATGGCAATCAGACCAGTCGGCACTTTCAACTAGATCCTCCCACCTTGGAGAACTATTTAGCATGAACTGTACACGTGTAAATTGTGCGTATGAAAAATTAAAGAGTAAAATCTAAAATTCATACAGAAAGCAAACTTTATTGAAATGAAATCTTGAAGAAAAACAAAGATTTAACAAAGACCCATCCCATGTGTATGTTGTAGGCAGCAAGAGCCTAGTATGTCAATTCAGTTTTTCTTTTTAACCAAAGACATATATATATAACCATCTCCATCATGTGTTTGTCTTTTCCAATTTTATTTTCTCGCTCTTTGTTTTCTAATTCAAAGCGTTCTTTCTCGAAGGCCAAGTTGTCTTTCAGGTAACTGACGTAATCTGCTGATGAATCAGTTCGGCGCTTCTTAGTTGGCGGCATGTTGTCGCAATTTTAAGCTAAAAAAACAGAGTCACCAATTAATGCAGCGTCAGTTTTGTTACTAATATAATTAATATTAATCAATATTTCTCATCCCAAAATTTCAGAGTACAGATTCATTCAAATACACAAAACAGGACGCCGTGTGACTTTCGAAACAAGGCTTCATAAAATTTGCATTAAAAGTCAGGGGATATGTCTCCTGTCAACTATGGAGAAAATCGAGCTACTAGTACTGTCTTACTAAACGGCACTTACCTGACGGATATCCTGCTTGTTACGCGTCAAGTGCAGACGGCTAGTCTATAGACCACTTATAAAGGCATGTGTACTCGTAAAAACTGCTCACAAGATGATGACCTAACAGTCTTATAATACAATCCGTGACGCGTGCGGAAGGCCAGTTCTGACTACCTTGTGGTCAGTGGAAAATGCCCTTTTTACGGGTATAACCTATATTTCAATAGTAACAAAAACATACACACAAATAACAGAGACAAAATGTTTCACATATATTGCAAAAATAAAATGTCCAATACGATTTTAGTAGAGAAACGGTCAACTTTGAAAGGCTTCATTTCATGAAATTATGCTGATTTGTCAAACCGTTTTTCATTGACGGGTAGCAATCTAGCTGCGGATAATGTTCTCTCTAACCGTATGTGTACACGTCACTAGACAGCAAATTTTGATGACCTAAACGTAGTCGTTCGCCTAAACGTGCAGGTGCGAAAGCTCTCTATTGTAAACGTTCCCTACGTCAGTTTACACTTAAGCATTAATCTGACTGTTCTCCGGGGAGAGATTAATAAATTGAAATATTAAAAATATGTAATTGTTTTATATTATTAGTGTCAATCATGAAATATGTTTGCGACCACAAGAATTTGGTTGTTTTCTCTCACAGGTTATTTGGTCCTGCTTTTAGACTGTTTTCAGATATGAGTAAAAGGCTTCATCATCCAGGTCGAGACTATTTGGTTTGCATGTGATTTCGACAACCATTGGATGAAGAAGGTGTTTCTAGAGTCACTTAATTCAACTAAAATTTCATTGATCATGGGATGACCCACTTGTGTGTTTCGCTTTCTCCCGTTTACCTTAAATCTAAATAAACAAACCCTGATAAGCACAAAAGGTCTTTTTCAAGTAATAAGCTATACTGTAGGAAAATTGCCAACCAGTTGAATGTGCGCAGTACTTTTCTATGGGCTACGGAAATGAGTAAAAGCTAGTAGCCTTAGCCTGCGTCAACCCAGGATGCAAAAGTGCTCCTAATAAATGACCCAATGATGAGAGTTGAGATAATACTATAAAAGCAGAATGATGAAATATGTGACAAGAATAATCAAATCACAAAAGGTCACATTCACAAGGTAATGATATTGTAAATGAGGAGGAATGTCATTTACAGCACCGAAAGTCATATTGGATATGGGAAGGTATCTTACTGGAACATGTATTTGCATGTGCGTTTGCGCTTGCAAGTGTGTGTTTCGCTGTGCAGATGCCAGGACCAATAACTTTACAATACTGGCATTAACCATTAAAGGTATAAAAACCGATACACCGGCTTGTATATAATAAAGTAAAAATTTGACAAGTGTGAGTTTTTTTGGGTATGTGCATATTTTTCAGACATGTTTATTTCAAATTATTGACCGTGACAAGGGCGAATAAATAATGAGGATATCAACTCATAGCCTCTCTGGAATATGCCTCATATTGGTGGTAACAAAGCCTGAGCTAAAAAGTTGGTATTGATAAATTCATGTGCACAAAATATGTATATGGTCTCTCTCTGATATACTGCATCTTTTGTTAAGTTATTGGTCATAAATTGATAAAATAAAATGTCGACCACATCTGTATTTCATATAAAGGCATCAAGGGGAAATTGTCAAAGTAAAAGATAAAAATTCAGTAAAATAACACAATGTTGTGAAAGAATTAATCCGTAGTGATAAGCCTAAGACCCCATTCCCTGAGATTAGATCGATCCAACTAGATCGACCTAACTCCCTGGAGGTTCACGCTAAATAGTTGTCAGCCGAGCGGGCACAAAAGTTAATTACCCCCTTACAGCTTGTAGTAGGCGGGGCGGACATTTAAGCCGGATTATCTGACAGTAATCTAGTGAGACTCCCCAGGGGGATAGATCGATCTAAAATCCATGGGAATGCACCCTAAAAGTATTAAATGCCTCCATTTCATAAATAGCACCCAAAATATCATATCATTGTCAAGAAGCCTCCAAGGTGCTACTTATCTCTAAATAAATTCCATTTTATGATACGTCCATACGAAACTTACCCTGGAAATCCTTAGAAGTCCTCGTAATCGCGAGGAATATGAGAGCATAGGCAATTATCATGGTAAGCAGCGGGAGAATAAACGTTGTTATGATGGTCAATATAGCGTACAGCTGCTCCTGCCATTTCTGAGTCAGGATGGTGAAAGTGACACATTGGTAGTAGTCAATCCCTGCGAACGGTGCTTTTTCTACTGTGAACACAATAGCCTAAAAAAAACAATTCTACATGTAGAGTAAAAGAGATTACAATGAAAGAGAGAAAAGCTCGTATATTTCATAATCAAATTTGACCCTTCCATGCACAGTCAAATATTCAAGTTGCATCTACCAGACGAGCGTGATACCGACATGACGTTTGGTTAGATGTCAAATTCCCAAGATTCGAGACTTTTTCTATCAATATTGTTTCTATTTTAATGATTTTAATAAAATGGATCATTTTATTAAACCAAAAGTATCCTAGAGAAATCGAAATAATATTGTGACTTACCAATGATAGCACATGTTACGAAAACATTAAACTTACATAATTGACACATGACACATATCTTATATATGACGAGAGAATAGCCAGTATCCATGACTGTGCCATTTCAGTTCATGAAACATTTTAAATTGAGAGTCAAGGGAGGCCATCGGGAGAAGCATCGCATGCTGTATTTCCTTGTATAACATCCAAACGTTCGTAGAAAGAAATCGTCAGAAGACAGTCTATCGGGCTTTGCAGTTGTATATCTTTGTTTACAGCTTGGGAGTCAAGTAAGAAAGTAAGAGGGGGACATCACGTAACTGGTTATTTTGTTGTTTCTTTGTATACAAAATACATGTATATCTGTTAAATCCCATATATTAATACATGCGCACTATCCTCCACATTCAATTGATACTTTTCCCGAACAACCATTTTCACGGAAAAACAATCGACCTGGTACCACATTAGGTTAAATGATTATCTTGGTGAAATGTTAAAGAAAACATTACCGTTGTTTGACAGAGTGTTATTCCTTATGAGTAAACATTCATAAAAATTGTTTCTTGGAAGCATGTCCTTGTGATAATAGTAGATGGCATGTGCAAGTAACGAAATATTGTTATTTCAGCAGGGCACACTTCCAAAAGCTTATACCAAGAGGGGTTTATATCATTTTTCCGATAGACTAATTGTCTTCTGATGATTTCTTTCTACGAACGTTTGGATGTTATACAAGGAAAAACAGCATGCAATGCTTCTCACGTTGGCCTCCCTTGACTCTCAATTTAATATGTTTCATGAACTGAAAAGAAAAGAAACAACGTAAAAAGTATATCAGAAAAGAAACAACGTAAAAAGAGGAATTGCTTGGAAAACATTTCACAATACAAATTTCACGTCCAGTGTTTAACAGTTGACCTTCGTTTAACTTAAAACCACAATATGAAACTTGATCTTCTAGTAATAACGTAAACATTTAATCAAAAATATCAAAATTGCTGCCATAATCATTGTCCCGATATGAGAAGACAATGGACTTGACGAACATCAAGATCCCCAGACACAATGTTCGAATCGGCACTCGTTACCCTCTTTGAATCAAGGTTTCCGTTGGTATTATTGTTTTAACTATATAAGGCGCAAGTCTTCAGTAGGGCATCTCTGGGAGTATCTTTTTATCTTTCGAAGTAACTCCACCACAGGCATTGATATTTTCAAAAGCAGTTAGATTAATGGCTGCATAATCAGTTTACAAAGAAATATGTTTTCTATCCTTTCCTCTAACATTTCAGTCTCTTTACATAAATTCAGATATATCGACAGGCGATTCCAAGGGATCAAAATTGTGATAATAATTTGTTTGAAGATCACGAACGTTTGACTAATTTGGCATTGATATAAACTCTAAGTTGTGACATGCTGTGCCCGGATTTTCATTTTGCAGGCGTGCATTTAATTATCTAATGAACTGATTTTCAGCTTCACGAGTTTTTTTTTTTCGAAAATAAGACCCTACCAAAGTATTTTTTCTGAAATCATGCAAAAAGGCTTGCATGGGGTTTTGTTTGCAGTAGTGCTCTGATTGTTGCGACGTGAAATAGCAACAGAGTCTCACAGACATTGAGAAGTGAAAAATAATACTTAAACAGCTGTACTAAGATTATTCATTTCGCAATAAATTTGGTTTTCTACGACTTACAGATGTTATGGCCTCCTTGTGTTCTACGGCCGGTTAATAACACATTAATGTCATCGTTGAGATTCACTTTTTTATTTACCGACAGCGACTTAAGCCTGATAACAGCTACCCGGAGTGGAGGCACGAAAGCTCCTTGCTGTATGCTCTCTCAGACGAAGTGAAGGGAGCTTTGTGCTAATTAAGACAATGAGGGTGCATCTAAAGGGCTAAATTCATTTGTGTTTTTCGTTGCACGTTATTTTAGAAAACATTCAGTCAGTATCATTTTTGAGAATGAACGACGCACGTGTTTCGATAACGACCACTAAAAGTAGCTGGGGTTAACTTAATTGTTTCATCATCTTAAACACAGCTGCAGTTGAATCGTTGTTTGGGACACGGTATATCTCAAAATGTTAAAAACGAGGCGAGTGCATGTCGCCTTGCTTTGACCTTCCAAAATATCAGATTTCTTTTATCATTTCGAAATTATACATGTAGCAACAAGGTATTATCCAGTGCAGGAAGTAGTAAAGCTAAGTATACCATAACAATCCTTTAATCGGGGGATGTGAAATAGAGAATAAATGTACTTTTTTGATTCAATGTCGAAGATAATTGCGCGATACCACAATCTTGCTTATGTGGGTTTCTTCAGTGTTGGGTTTTTCTTTTTCTCGTTTTATAAGAAAAACATAAGTCTGATGTTGAGTGGATCGGGTAATACAATTGACGGGCCAAGAAGTATTAAAATATATAATCTCTGCATTTCACTTACTAGCAAACAGTCTTTCCTCAAGCACCGGGGGAATATAGCTTGACATCTAAGCGCTAATACCGCGAGGCATTATGAAATACACCAAGCAACTAGTCAATAACATGTGGTTTAATCATTTAAAAAACAGATACCACCAAAGGATTTGGTCGTATCGTATTCGTCAATGCGGTTGTTGGTTGCATGAAAAAACAAGGCATTCGTACTTTTCTCGGGGGATGGTTACTTAAGTGCTGTTAATTTAAAGAATCCTTCATACTTTAGTTTAAAATCCCATTCTTCGATTAAATAACTTGCACCATGATAACAACGGTCTAATAATTGTAACTCATATTACCGCCAGGTGAGCGATAGGAAAATTTAAAATACCAAAAGCGGAAGTGTAATTGAGTCTCATGGAAACTGCCATCAGTAACTTATGATTATAAATTTATAATACTGATAATTATTTGATCAGAAGTAACTCTGAAACACAGAAAATCACTATTTCTGAGTAAGCCGAAAGAGATTTAGTTAGACCTTTGTCATCCTTTGAAGATCCAAAGAAAACCAACAATTAATATAAAATCTTCCATCAAATATATTTCAAGAATGACCCGTTATCTTGACACAGCATTTCTTTTTCAAATCGACTTTTGAATACTTATAATGGATTCAGATCCGTTTATAGGCTTATTATGGAATTTATTACATGTAAACCGCTATTGCAGCTCGATCGGGTGGAAAAAGAAGCAAGAAACAACCATTCTAAATGGCTAACAGCCAGATATGTTAGTTTGCCCTTTTCACGGTTAAATGGGCTTTGATCCTCACAATGTGAGTGTGCACACTGCGTGCAGCACTAGTAACTGGATCTAGATACATGTAGCTATATTGCAAGGTTGAAATAGCTACATAATTTGCAAAGAAGTTCAGCAAACGGCAAATGAGAATGCCTCTATACTCTGTTCAAGGACGGTTACAAAAATTAGCATTCATGAGCAAAGTTGTAACCTACCTGGATGCCAGAGATAGCATTGTGAAACAATATTTAGCCAGGTTGAACACTATTCTCAAAGATAAAGACTTACAAATAGTCATCAAAGGGTTTGATTTAGAATGACATTTTCCATAAAAATTATGATATGTTTAAAGGAACCATGCTGAAAGGATTTGATAAAATAGACACCATTATAAAGGTTTGATCAAATAGAGAAGCAGTAACCTGAGAATCCTTATGTAAATTTTCTTTACATTAAAGGTAACAAAACAAGGCTTAGGTTCAACATGTATGTATTTATAGACCACAAGAATCAAATACCGACTTCTGATACTTTAAGTAAATTTTGCCGGCATGTATTTTAATATATCGCGTAACAGGTTATTGATTACAGGTAACGTCTCTACTTCCAGGGCGAAAGAACACTCAATCTAGATCAGCTAGCTATGAAAACATGGGAGTCATAACCAACAGCGTGAAATCCCCTCGGGTGGGCAATTGGTCGAGTCACTTTTGCAGTAAAATATCATGTCTGATATAGATAAATGGGTTTTTGAAATAAGTATTTTAATTAATAAGCACTTGTAGACGATCTTGCAACAGAAAACACTATGGGGGAGCATTGCATGTTATCCGATATGCTGTTTTTTTTAAATTTCAACACAAATTAATGAATTCGCACGCACTTTATATCTCTTTACTTTCTTCATCCATCTATGCTCTATACTGCAGCCGGAAATTTCAATAATCTGCTAACGCATTTATCATCCTTAGTGCAATGTGCTAAATTACTATACAGTTAAACGGCGAAAGTCACACGCAAATCATATATTCATCAAGGTCCTGTGAACATGTCAAATGAATTTTAATCCTGAGAAATGCAATCGACCCTTGGGAAAACATAAGCATCCTCTCAATGCGACAGTTTCTGTTTTGAACTGATTGCCTTTTTTAATGCCCTTGACGTTAACAGAAATTGGACTTGATATGTTTTCTTTTATCCGTACATTTACACCATACTGGAATTGTACAAAACTAAATAATTATTATAATAGATTGACTGTCAGATACACAGAAATACTTGTAGTTATCCAACTTTTGAGTACACTGAAAAAGGCCTTAAAAGTGAGATTAACAATCAATAAACGCCACCGGGTGGACTTTGCCGCCAATTTTCTCTCTCAAAAGGTAGACTAGGGTATTAAACTAAAGCCATTACCATTGCCTCGCTTATGTTGTTCATAACAAATGTGAATTTGTCGCTATTGTATCATACCCTGGCATAGAAGCCAAAAAAGTAAATCCCAAAAAGTAAATAAATAAATAAATAATATCAGTCTATACCAGAAAAGTATTGTGATAAATATCTTAGCATTAACATTGGCACTGCGATCTAATCACCACAGTGCTGCGTCACAGTGCAAATGCCCTGGAGGAATTTTAACGCGCGTTCCGGGAACATTTGTAATTGCTTTCACACATTTGTGTGCTGCGATATAGGTTAAAAGGATAATTACTTTATTTGCTACTAAAACATATATTCTCACCTACTAGCGAGACGCGACGTGATGTTGATTAAACATCTAGTGAATCGATCTATCTCCGTTATCACAAGTACGTATCAGTGTACACATGACGGAGGATAACGCGCCCATTTCGTCTTCACTGTCTCCAAATCCATATCACATAAAACGAATAAAAGTCCATCTCATATTTGTTGGGAGTCTGGATATGTTCATGCATCACTTATTGCAATGTATATTGCTTCTAATCTCATCAGTATGGAATGAGGAGCAATGGCAGCTGTGGAATGTTGACGCAACCCTGCGTACAGCTTAATGTTAGATTTATGTTTTGTTAGATGACAAGTGTGTTTTGGGTTGTTTGCTCCTGTTTCTGTATTGCACCATGTGGATCACTTAAGATTAACAAGACGATTCCTGGGATTGAGAGAAGACATTTCAACACAGTTCAAAGGATATCCATGAATGCATAATTGATATATTCATCAAATTTCAACCTTTTGCTTATCAAACCACCTATTCGTACGTATTTTGTTTATCAAACCAGCTGTACACTTTATAGCACTGTTAGAACTACAAATATCATCAGCGACATTAAACTGAGGAAAGGCTTGAGATATTACGAACATTCCTCTTTTGTATTCAAATGCCGACTAAACGATTCCATGGACCGGAATGCAAATGCAGGCTACGTCAATTAATTAAATTTGTCATATTATTATGTCAGTTCTTTAAAACCTTGTCGTTTCGAATTCTTGCAGAATAGTCCTAGCAGCATTGTAGTTTCGATTGGTATTATTTGCATGCGTCCAATGGTATGTATTGAATATTATTATATATTCAAAATACCAGGTATAGGATAGATCCGTGCACAAGATTTTGTTGCAAGAAAAGAAAACCAGTATGGGAATATGATTATCATTCACCAAGTATTAGGCAAGTAAAACGTTTCTTATGTCCAAGAGCAAGTGGTGAGAAGCAAATACACTTACCTGCGGGATACTGAATAAGGCACTAAGGATCCAGGCGACAATTATCATGGCTCTCACTCGGTCTGGGGCTCTGTTTCTTCTTAGGGGGTCCAAAATCGCACAGCATCTATCTAAACTGATAATCACTACCGTATATGTAGACAGATAAAAACCAAAGACCTCCAGATATTTCATGAGTTTACACATAAATGTCCCTGCCAGCCACTGAACTGTAATAGTCCAGGTCATTTCTGTCACCATTACAAAAAAAGAAACCATCAGGTCAGCCGACGCAAGTAAAAATACTAACGTGTTGATCGTAGATTTCCGTCTCCGCATCCTATACACTTGTACCAATGTCAGCGTGTTTCCTACAACCGAGATGAGAAGAAAAATACCGAATAATATAGTTTTGATCAGAGACATGCGATTGAAAGAAGGAATGGATGGGCGATCATAATCCCCATAGGTGCTATTGTTCCACCTTGCAGACATGTTGTCATTTGAGCTGTTCTGAGACAACAGAAAGTGTACACCTGAACTATTTAGCATGGAATGCGAGACATTGAAATTTATGGAAGGTGTCGTCAGAAAATGCGGTTTCTCCGTACTGAAGCTCCATTCAGCGTCCTCCAAAGAGTTCCCCTTCATTATCATTAAGTTCCACTGCAATGCAAATGTTTTCATTAATCGTAAATCAATTATATGCTTTCATGTAAATGCCGAGAACCATCAGCTTAGATCCGGTCTGATGGTGCTAATATACAAACCAGATGTATATCAAAATCGATTCCGTGATCAGTGTCAAAAACGTGTCCCGCATGTGAAGAGCAAACCACTGGAGTCGTACCTTTTGACTTTTACGTTCTCTTTAGGCTTCTTGTTAAGTCACAACTTAATGAAAGCAAAACATTTTCCAGATTGTCAAATCGCTGACTTACCAAGAAGCTTCCTCAATCTAATGCTCTTTGTCTCTGTCACTTAGACAGGCAACTAGAAAAGAAAGCCAGTGTTTCCGGAGCCTTTCGAAGAAAAGAGATGAGCGCAGCTTTCCAGGTTAAGCCCGAGGAGTGAATGATTACCACTGTGAAGTATATGTTCATACACCTGATAAAGGTACTAATAAGCAGGATCAACAATCCTTCTTAATAATTTCAATCACATAATACGTGACTTTTCACAACTGTCCATTGATTATATAAACGTCCTTATTGCCTGCTTCAAGTGTCCGAAACAATATTTCACCAAGCGTCAGGTCCTGGCCGCCGTCATCTTCGAGCACAAGGTTTCAAATAACGCTCTTGCTTGTCTGGTTTCAGTACGCAGATCTGAAAAGAACATAAGAGCTAAAGATACATCACAAAAAGGCGGTCGTAAGGTGAGATCAATCATTGAAATTAATGGGAATTGGACGCTTTGCTTGAACTCAAAGCCATGGAGGTTCACAGCGGTAATCAGCAATAGCGGAGATGTATTTTTTCACGAGAGCTTTGTTTCATCTCTTTGAGTATGAGATAAAGAAGGCGTTTTAGCCCCATTAAGATACATTCATAATCGGTATAGCCATCAATAATTTTGTGTCGAACTTGCTATAGCGGCCTATGTTAGAAAGTACTTTCATCGAAATGTAAACTTACTTCAATCTGTGAGTGCTACTTGAGTTCTCTGTAGCGGACCAAGCTCTTTGTCCTCCCTGGGCATTTCATTACTTTTCATAGGTAGTAACGTTTATGCTTGATTTAAGAAAAGCTTATGTTTTCGAAGGTAAAAATGCTTGTTTGTTTTAATAATCTAGTGAATGAGCCAAAATGGAGGGAGTTTAGCTACAAATTAGCGCCCTATTACTAACATAAGCCATGTATAACATGTTATAACTGCATTAGTTGTTAAACTACGTCGGGATTAGAGATCAAGAACTGAAGCTGATGATGGCGAGAAAAGGCAAGGCCATCAATTCCGATGAGAATTTCGAAAGAAGTTTGCGAAATGATCCAAACTCGTTTAGATTGTTTTAAAAGAATGGGAAAGATGACGTTAGCAGCAGGGTATGCATGTTATGAAATAGCTAAATACAGGACAAAAGCAATCAGAGAGTAGCACAAAAGGGCACTATTGTAATAAATGGGAAAAAGTATCTAGTATGTAACCAAAATTAGAATCCGTTATCGGTCCCGATGTATCGATTATCCTACGACGTCGATGTGTTCAAAGCGATTCTACAATGCATTAAAACAAAAGTGCAAAGATACGTGAAAGTATATTAATGACAACCATATTTTGGTTCAATGAAGACAACGATGGAATAAATGCCCAAAACGGTTTGTCAGAATGTTTTCAAAACGATTAAATCAAAAACATTGTCGTTCACTTGTCAACCCAATTTTGTTATTACACATGATTAACGGTCAGTTGTACATTGTCTTTGCAGCGATTTGCTGGCCCTTAATTTTGTAACCAAGGTTTGTAAAAATGACTAGTTAAAAGAAAATTTTTTAAGTACTGATGTGAAGACGTAGAAAGCCTGGCATGGATCTTAAGCTTAAAACAATACCCACGGAACGGATTGTAGCTTTATATAGGCGAGAAAGATTTTTCTGGAAGAAATGTTGATGGAAAACAGTGTAATTCAAAACCCTTTTAAAAAATATTTTAAAACTTGTGTTATTGTAGATGTACGTACTGTTTATTGCCCGGTCAACATACCTGAATAAGTACAGAAATAACAATAACAGACACGTTTTCATTAAAATTTACAGATCTCTTCTTTTCAATAAAAACATTCATTATTTGAGGCACTTGTTAAAAATATAAAACATTTTGCACGAATGCACAAACGAGGTGACAGCACCGAAGGAACACCTGAATAAATTAAATAAACATGCCCGTCATATGTTGAAATAAAACCATGAATTGCAGCCATAACTTGTAAGGATTCTATTCTGTAATTAACCCCGTATTTGGTAAACTTAAGTGACCTCACCGAACAAATGCGGTACATATGTGAAGGGAAATGTTTGCCAAAAGTCTTTCATTTCACGTGAATATATTTCTTTTTGCAGTATTTTATGCCAATATTATACACTGTACTAGTATCGATATGCTGTAGATATCGCTACAGGCAACTAATTTCCCTTTATCGTTGTGAGCAGATTAACACCCGACTCATCAACCTGAAAACTGCTGCAATTACCGTAGGTAACTGATATCAAAACTTTCCATGCGTGTACGATGCTAAACAGTTACTGCGTAAACTTGGATTGGAGATAACTTTTTCTGACTTGAATGTACAACTGTACAGGCACAACGCTAAACATTAACAGTGTTCGTACTTTTAAGTAAACTTGGATTGGAAATAACTTTCTGTTTTGATATTGACAATTCGAATAAATTTTCGCTATTTTGCTTATGAAAATTTATTTGGATTTTTTCTGCAAGAACACCGGTTGCTCGGAGGTAGAAGCAATTTGTTGCTATAGAAACCATGGACCATAATTGTTTTGTGTGTGACGGATATTACGATAGTCGGTGGAGCGTCTTTATAGCATGCATTTTTATGAAAGCTCTTAATACATTGATCATTGGCATTACTATACAAATGCCCCAACTACTCATGATTCCTTTGAATGAGAATGTTATCGCATGTACCATAAAGCATACCTTTTAGGCGAACGTATTCCCATGAAAAACAGAGCTGTTGCTGTGATTTATATTTCACGAGCGTCGTCACGTAAACAAGAAATTTTACATATCTCCTCCCTTCTTGGCATTTCCCTCTCACTCAACAAATTAGCTTGGTGTAGCATTACGTGTATTGCTTTCCACAGATATGAACGTGTATTCAGTATCAGAGATTCAATGTAAGGCGGTACGGGTCGACTCAAACAATGAGTAGGAGTAGAAAAACAGGATAACAGTATCTGGGTAAAAATACTTTAAGACGGTTTGATCAGACAATCCATAAAACGACCATTTAGCGTCTGTTTGCACTAACAATTATCGGTGCAATCCATCACCTTAACCACATCTAAGGTCCCATGAGAACCGTGGTATAACATTAAGACAGAAAAATTGTTTTTTGTTTCCTTTTTATTTCAGTCTGCTTAATACACAACACAATTGTGCCAATGTCTACTCGTGTAATTACCATTTTTTTAGTAATGCATTAACTACCCTAACAACCTTAGTAATAACAGCACAAAGATAGCTAACGCTCAATTGCTGAATAGCCGGCTTATGTAATGTTCAACATAACGGAGGTCACTGTGAATTTTGTAACAAACATTACGAGTCAGAGAATTTGGCCAGATGACAGTACAACGCCAGGTTCCCCTCAGAATTGTCGGGTAACGTCTGAGGGATACCGCCGTTCTGTGCACAAACAATCTGGCAGCCAAACATAACAGGGTTCGTCACCAATAGGCTATGTGCCAAAGAAGCCATAGCATCAGATGCTGGAGACGGATCATTTAGACGGATGAATCTCGTTTTTGCGTTTAATGATGATGATGAAATAGAATCTGGTGCAGGATAAACATCCGCAACCCACCGGTTCAGGACAAGTTAGAGTTGTGGAGAGGAGTCTACAGAGAGAACGGGCGAAACATGCCCCGACGATGTTTACTTGTGGTTGACCACCATGGTGGAAATATCCCTTATTATTGAAAAACTGCTCATCAGTTTTTGAGAATTACTGTAGTTCAATGTGGAAGCGTTGTACTTTCTAATAAATGGGTTAAATTAGGGTATTTTCTTCGATGCCAATAAAACTTTAATATGCATAAATTGTGCCCTAACCACCGACGCTATTATTTTCAAGTTTTCATTATGATGTCAACTCCATGACCTTCTTTAATGTTTTACTAAGTCTTATAACATAAGACACCACGAAAAATGATGTAGTTAAAACGAGACGTTGAAAAAACGAGACTGCCTATATGCTAAATTTGTTTAAATAGCGCAACTCGGTATTACTAGTTCAATGATAAAAGTACACCTGTTGGAGCAGATAAGACTCAGTCGTACTCATAAAGGTCTTATAAATAGATCATCACAACAGAAACCGTTATAGCCTTTTGAAAATATTCTTTTGAAAACCGGATGCTTACTACCGGTAACACTGTAACCCATCTCATTGTGACGCGGCGCACAACCAAACAGTGCACTAACACCGACATGCCAGGATGTAAATAACAAGCCATTATTTAAAGGAATGTACTTGTACTTGTACTACTGCGTCCACACTCCTTTAAAGTGTGCAATCAAGATCGCAATGCACATCATAACGAGCAGTGAATCAAAATATGTATGAGCTTTGCCTCGGCCTTCTCTATTAACAAACAATCGTTCTTCGCTAATACAATTCAGTCATGAACTTTCTGAGTGGTATGATCAGTTTTATTTTGGAAATCCGTACCTACGAGTAACTGTCACCACCTAACAATACACCTTTAAAAAACACCCAAGCAATCTTAAGTGCCATTCCAATGATACGTGAAAAATAGCGTAGCGCGAGAGTTAATCTATATTATCATAGCAGATCCCCGAAGTCTCCGTTTCACGTCTTCTCCCAAACTACAAAGATCTGTTGACAACTGTGGTGCTAGCAATATCTTAGGGCAGTGGGAAGATAGTGGTCATTGTTTGAATTTGATGATAACTGTTAAAAGTATACTTTGAAGGCATTTTTGTAGCCTTCGGCAATTTCCGTAAAGCTTCGGCATGTGTGACGGGTATCATATACCGTATGCTTTAGTCCTGAAAATGACATAACTATCACCACATGCTGTTTCACCACAATAGCAAGTGCATGTATTCACAGCTTCAATATCCCATGGACAATGTCAATCGCCCTATACCTATTTCAAGCTTCGATTGATTTAAGATATAATATACATGTACAGCATATATGTTAGCAAAAACCATTCCTCTCGTTTTGAAGCAAGAGAGTTATGCTCTTAGGCCTTCCCTTTAATCTTATCAGAAGTGCCGTTAGATCCTAGCGCTCTCTGCTTTAGTACTGAAAATGACATAACTATCACCACATGCTGTTACACCACAACTGAAACTCATAAGACTAATGATCTGTACCCTCATTGGTAAAAAGTGTTGATTCCAATACCCGGAGACGATCCGTAAATTGTGCCCATCCAAAAGGTTTTATTTCTTGATAATACAATTAGTGCTTGTCTATTATTTTCCGTGAGATACCGGCACTATAGAAAATGCACATGTTGTACAGTATTGTACCAGTATAGTACCTCGTTAATGATTGTTGAAAGATGATTTGTTTAAATGATCACCATTAACGAAAATGAAGAACATCAGAGCTGACGTCGACTTAGGCTGCAATTAAACGAACTTTAAAGAGGTTTGGAAGAGAATGGGGTCATAAATAATGGCAGAGTAGCGAGTGAAGTGCGGCAGCGATTTTCGTGTGTATCGGGCGGCTAAGTGCTCATTGAATTTGGTGCACTCAATATAGCACAGTGCCGGGGTCATATTTAATGACACATTTGGGACAAAGAAAACCAAAACTCATACTCTTACATACTCCATGCACATCATTTTGAGTGCCTTGTGTGTTCTGGTAAAAGACACAAAATGTCTGGGCTCCGTATCTCGAAAGGTTCGCTATGTTGCGCACGTGCGCAAGTGTCTCGATTCCATGACCGATTCTATTTCGAGATACGGGGCCATGAGATCGAGACGCTTGTGCACGTGCGCACGTGCGCAACATAGCGAATCTTTCAAGATACGGAGCCCAGGATTCTCTTACCAACATGTACTCAACGCACATGTACTCAGTACTCAACGCACTTTTGGGTTTTCTTCAAAAAGAGATACCTGATAAACGGCGTTGAGGTAGATGCAATGTACAATGTATAATGTCTTGGCTGCCAGTGACCCTTTTCTGCCACTAAGATTATCTTTCGCAGATAGTGGTTGCTACCATCAGCTAATGTGAAAGTCACGTTATCAATTCTCCCACTTGCATGGATATTTTCCACAAACATAAATCTTTACTCAGGAATTAATCACTGTACTCTTCAGGTTTTCTTTCAACACAGCATGATCGAATGGTCCAATTTTTTGATGAATCGGAAGACGATGCTTTTTGTTATCATTTTTCTGAAAGTATGACTTGCTACCATATAATTTGCAACATACACGTTTAAATGAAAAATCTCGATTAAAACCCTTTTGATAAATGCGCGAAGAACACATTTAAAAAATGTATATTATTATTAAATAATCTGGCAACTTATAAATAAGATAAATATATACCAGCACATTGGATGGCTAAATACATATACACTGTACGTGTATACAAGCATATTGCTTGTTTCCATTATATGCCTGGTTGTTATGGATCTCTTTAATCCTGATTCGCTGTCATCTCTCGGAAACGAGCACTCATAATTGTAATAGAAAAAAAACAAATAAATACGTCTTTCAAAAATACTTTCTTTTATTTAAAAAAAAAATTTAGATTGAGATTTCCAGTAACGCATATAAACCACTTCAACTAGTTTCTGATACGACTAAAATAAAGTCGACATGCCAAGTCATAAACCAAATTAATCTGTTGTTCAGCAAAAAAAAAAAAAAAAAAAATTTAGGGCTGCATCTTCTTCAAAATGTTGGTGGAAAATTGACCTTTTTCTTTGTCCCTCCAGTTTATAAAGGTCCGCATAATCATCACTGTCACTCCCATGTATGGATGCGCGCGTAATTGCATACTTATTCAGATGTCACAGGGCCATATTAATAGCACAGAAAGAAAGCAGAAAATATCCGTTCAAATATCATTTTTCGGAAAATATGAAACGATGCCGTTTGGCACCGGTATTTCTCAGTGGTATGCTATTTGAAACGATATCTTTTCCGCCCACAGCCGCTTTTGTTACTGTGTCACCAGAGGACCAAATTAACTATAAGTGACTTGACTATTTGTTGTCTGACACTGTCGCCTGTCATTTGTCAAAGGAAGCAGTTAAATGTTTATCAGCACGTGGGAGTGAAGATAGAAAAGAGAGGTTTTAATAAAGGCTTTAGTTTACTTATATCGATAGACAATCAATTGGCTCTTCTTTGTCTAGTTCTAGCCTACGCGGGATGCTTCTTCTTGTCCCTACGCGTCATTTACATGTTGAAATATACAGACTCGCTGAAGCCACAGTCGAGGCTTTTTTAAGGTAATAAATGACAATAATAGCGTCAGGGTCACACTGAGGAATGTATATGTATTGTAATCCTAAAAAAATCTCAATCTGCCAACTGTTTGCAGAAGTCACAGGTTATAGAGAGAATTATAGTTGCAATAGTTGCAATCAAACGTCTTCTTCAAAATGTCAAAACTAAACATTTTTTATCTCTTCAGGAAGTCCTGAACACATCCTGAGGCTTCAAACAATATTCTGTGACATCATGGACATATTCATGACAAATCACCGGATATTAAGTTAGCAATGTTTTTTTATGCTTTAAGCCATATGGCTACATGTATAACTAGCATTTATAAATCGATTACAATTTAATACTGATTGAAAATTAATACCAAATAAATCTGAAAATTCAACAGACACCCAACTCTAAAACTGTAAAGTTTGATGTTTTCAGCGCAATAGGCTGACCTTTGTCTAAAGAAAAAAATTTCACACTTAAGTTCCCCAGACGAATTACTTTTTTGCCCGAAACAAACG